CCCACTATAAGACCGGAAGAAGCGACAAGTGCTTCAGGGCCGGTCCTTCAGACCATACCTGAGGATCACGAGAAAAGAATGGATGTGCTGTTTTTGCAAGCTTGTCAATCAACTGAAGTGGTTGAGATTCATTTGACAGTAGCGGCTAGAGACGTTCATTTTCAGAAAGGCATTTGGGTCTTGAATCAAAAGGCAAAAAGGAATGCTGAGGTTTGTCTTCGAAAGTTGTCAGCAGAAGACAGGAAAGAGTTTGAAACGGCTATGGGAAACGAAATTGACTCTTTCACAAACAACAGTGCTGTTGAGATTTGCACACGTGCTGGCATTCCACATGAACGCATTCTAGGTATGAGATGGGTTTTGGTTTGGAAGCCTGTTGTGAATGAAGATGGAGTCCAAACTGGTAGAAAAGCTAAAGCTATAGTCAAGGACGGGTGGTAGGCAGAAAATTGCCAACTCGTTTTGTAAGCAGATCCAAAATTTAAAAGTCCACCCGGGCGTGATGATATCATAATTTTTGGAAGTCAAAATCTGCTTACTAGGGGGTCTTCTCCAGGAGAGTCTGCTTGGCAAAGATATGCTTACTGGGGGTGCTTTGGGTCAACTCCCAAAAAACATTCCAACGGTTCAGATACTTGCCACCATTCTGAACCGTTGGAAAATACCCCCAACCCGTGGAGAAATAGAAGATAAAAGAGAGAAAACAATGAACATGGAAGGCATTGGGAAAAGAGAAGAGGTGATGTTATTTTCTGAACCTGTATTGCTCAATATGTGGATGTAAAGTATATAGTAAGAAATGTCAACTCAAGATGATAGGATTTTAAGTCTTTAACTTTTTGCTTGCTGGTAAACACCCTGCAGTAAGCAGATTCCAAACCTGCTTACTGGGCTGTGTGCTGTTTTTAATCTTCTGTATGTTTTATATTCATGGTAATGCACATGATGCTGATGATGTCAATTATGCTACACTGCAGTAAGCAGATTTGGAATCTGCCTACTGGGGTGGTGTTTGTCCTTTCAACAGGCTAAAGGCAAATAACTGCATCCGTTTTCATCCGATTCTTCGATAATTCAATGAAAAATCATCAAACAACTGTCCAACTTGAAGCTGTTCAATAAATTTTTGCTTTTCATAAATTTCTTTCAAAACTCTTGAAACATCCAGGAAAGACAGGAAAGGAAGGAAGCGGACCAGGAAACTGTCCAAAAACATTGAATTTTCACAAATTTTCCCAAAAATCCTAAAGTGGCCTCAAAACTCTTGAAACCTCAAGGGAAGACAGGAACTGAAGGAATATTACCAGGAAAATAACTAAACATTAAAAATTAACTAGCTACTTTTGGTTTACTTTTTCTCCTCTCCCCCTGTCTCTGTGTCTCTTCCCTTAACGGGGGGAGTCCGTTCGACTCTTCGGACCGATGCTTCACCGACAGTCGGGGTCACCGGGGGACCGATGTTTGGGACCGCTTCTCGGAGCACCAGGAGGTTGGACCTAACGGCCGGCGCTCCTGTGGGACCGGTGGCCGCTCCGTATATATGGATATATGTTCATTTAAGACACGGTGGCATCCTACGCGAAGCTATCTTTACTTATACCCTGCAGGTTTCTTCATATTCGGGCGCGCGTGCTTTTGCCATTGAGCCAATGCAAAATCAACCCACATGCCAACCCCCTCCCCTGAACTGCACTAATCAGATCTGCTTAGTGCAGTGCGAGCTGTTTCCTCTACGCGTTCCATTTTGCTTTCTTTCCTGTTTTTTAAAGTGGTAGATCACTTTCAATCTTGTTGGCGAATGCACCTGCAGTAAGCAGATTCCCAGTATGCACTGTTTCCGCTATATACTGTAATCCCTTTCATGTTCCTTTTATTCTTTTTGTTATTTTCCAGCATTTTATTGTTTAACTCCTTTCCTCTATTTGTCCTCTCCTGCTTTTCTGGCGCTTTCCCTGTAATTCTTGAATCATTTTGCTGTTTTGCTCTTTCTTCTCTTGTTTCCTTTTCTTTTTATCAGTTTCCTTTGAATTGCATTCCTCTTTAAATTTGAATATGTTTCTTAAGTCTTCTTGCGTTATTCAAGGATTGAATATGGTTTACATGACAACCAGGCCCCAGTAAGCAGATAGATTTTGTGGCGGCACATGGCGGTAACTAGGAATCTGCTTACTACAGTCCTCTCGCCTGAAGGTCCAAAGTGTACCAGTCCCAAAAATGCCAAAATCCACCATTTCAGGGGTGCAGTAAGCAGAAAAGTTTCTGCCTACCACCCGTCCTTGACTATAGGTTGATTTTGAAGGGGTATATGGACCCTGAATTGTTGACCGTCCCACGTGAAGCTGCGACTTTGAGTACCTTGGGACGAAATGCGATTTTTGCATTGGCTGCTCAAAGGCAATTCAAGCTGTACATTGGCGACATCAAAACAGCTTATTTAAACGGAGACCAAACAGAACTGGAGAGACAGATTTGGGCGGAACCACCTGAGGAAGTCAAACAATATTTGAACATGAAACCTCATGAACTCTGGCGTGTTGCCAAAGCCGTGTACGGTTTGTGCCATGCTCCTCGTAAGTGGTTTGAGAAATTACAATCCGTATTATGGAGTCAAGGATGGCAATCACATCAGCTTGACCAGTGCGTGTTTCTGATGACCAATCCTGTCACCCAGGAGATCTGCGGATACTTAGGTGCTCATGTAGACGACCTGATTGTGGCAGGTGCTGGACCATATTTCGACCAACAGGTGCAGAAACTCCGACAGTCATTTCCTTTTGGAAGTTGGGATTGTGCTCAAGACAAGAATATTAAGTTCTGTGGCTGTGACATTTTTCAGACTGCGGAATATGATATTCTGGTGAACCAAAAGAGTTTTTCCTTGGCAATTGATGAGATCAATTTGACTCGAGAACGAAAATTACAGAAACATGATACGGTGACACTTGCAGAGAAGTCTGAAATGCGAAGGGCGCTAGGTGCTTTGAACTGGAGAGCAGTGCAGACATGTCCTTGGCTTCTTTCAACGGTGTCCCACCTTCAAGGTTGCGTAGAAAGTGCTACAGTGAATGATTTGCTTGAAACAAACAAGGCAATTCGTTGGCAGAGGAGACACAGTCATGTTAAATTGAGCTTTCCACATCAAGTGCAAGACTGTATGGTGTTGACTTTTTGTGACGCGTCTTGGGCGACCCGTCGTGACGGCAGTTCACAGGGTGGATCCATTACCATCCTGATGAATAAGGAAGTTTTGTCCGGAAAACTTTGCCACTTCTCAGTGTTGACTTGGACGAGCCGGCGACTCAGACGTATTGCAAGATCTTCAACCAGTGCCGAAGTTCAAATGACCGGAAACGGTTTAGATGAGCATGAGTTTGTCAAATTGTTCATGTACATGATGATGAATTCCGGAAAGATTGATTTGAGAAACGCTGACCCAACTTTGGCAAAAGAAGAATCATGCATACTCAGTGATGCAAAGAATGTGTATGATGCTTTGGAGCGTGTACAAACATGTGGCTTACAAATGGAGGAGAGAAGGTCCTCTATTGAGGTTTTGGGAATCAAGGAGAGGCTGAACCAGACCAATGTGAAATGTCGGTGGGTGTCTGGGGATCAGGAACTTGCTGATGGCCTTACAAAACCTTGGAAAGGTGAGCAACTGATTCAAGCGTTGAATCAAACCACTTGGAGGATCATGTTCGATCCGACTTTTGTTTCTGGCAAAAAGCGAAAACAGTTGAAACAAGTGGAAGCGAAGTACGGTGATCCCGATTGGATGAACCTTGTGTGCAATTTAGATGAGTCACATTTCGGTCAAGAAAACTTTTGGACCGGTGTGAATTTGAATGTGTATGTTGACCGAAAGCGTATCCATGGTGTTTGGGCCCGAGACGTGCCCTGATCTTAGATTGTATAGCCTGACGTTCCATCGACCTTGCCGCCATAGCATTGTCGGAAAACCAACGTTTGTGCTCGGATTTGGTTGTGTGAGAAAGGTGACCAGTTGTTGTGTTGGACTTGAGACTCCCTACCGAATTTACAGAGGCCATCGCGTCCATACTAGTAGCTTACTTGTAGGTAGTAGCTACCTCTCCCTTACTTAATTAAGTAGGAGCGGGCTAAAACAAGTACATTGGCACCCAAAGAGGGGATGTGGCTGAACTTGGGAAGGCGTGCTGCGGTTCGGAGGACACCACGATGGGCTCGCCCGACCCAATGCCAGGCAGTTTGATCGCATGATGCGATGGCAGCAATCGCAACCAAGCAATTATTGCAGAGGTTGGGGACGGATTCGCGTCAGACTTAGGAGCTGGGCGGCCAGACATGCCGCCAAACAGCGATGCTGCCTACGACTCTACGACGCAGTTTTTAAGAGAGCATTGAGCCCGCCCTGGATAAGGGCTGTTGGCTGTTGGCAGAGCCAAACAAGGTCTTAAGTTGTTTGCCGCAACGGCAAAGGGGGAGTGCAGAACCAAAACGAAGTCTCAAAAAGAAGACTGTGGAACATGTCAAGATGCATCACCCTGAAGGCTTTGTACTGCCCAAGAGCAAAAGAGTTCTTGCCAGTACACTCCCCAGTACAAGAACCCGCATGCAATAAAGATCTACTTACTGGATGTTTGTACATTGAAAGAGAAGCCAGGTCGGTTCAGCCCAAAGTGTTCGTCATGCCTTGTGTGCATGCAAAAGTGTTCATTATGCAGTTGTTTCCTTTTCAATGAAAAGAAGAACCAAATCATGAGAAGGGTTCCGGCCAGGAACCGAGAACCTGCGTCGGCTTCCTTCAAGAACCCTTTGCTTCAGCATCCACGTACGTAGCTTTCCACTAGTAGCTTTCTTGTTGCTAGTAGTAAGAATGCTCCTAGTAGCGATGCCAGGAGCCCCTAGTAGCTTCTTGTTCCTAGTAGTACGGCCAGGAGCCCCTAGTAGCTTTCTGCATTCCGTCTTGTTGCCACATATGACAGCCTCTCCCCCAACAAAGTACGCTTGAGTCCCCCCACTGCAAGATCGTTGATCCTCACGAAGGTGAGCTCGGCAACCAAGCGATTGGCGTCACCAGCGAGTAGAATCCTAGGCATCAGCAGTTGGCGGCGCGCGCCAAAGGAAACAAGTTCCGGCGCTGGAATCACAACGAAGGAATGAATGGAAAAGGATGGAAAAGGTTCTGAAACGCTCTGAAGCAATGAGTGCATTTTGCGGCGAAGCTTCTCTTGCATTGCCTGAAACTGTTTGTATCCTTTATTGTCGAAGATCTTGCGCCGCAGAACAGAGTGAGCATCTGTAAGGAAAAGGTCCTTCAATGCTTTTACTGGTACCTGTGATGCAGTGATGTCGCAAAAAAAGAGAAGGAACAGGGGTGGGTGATATCAAATACATAATATTGAGCCTTACTGCTCTGATACATATACTTATATTGCAAGCGCGGGCGCAGGCTTTTGCAAACACGGCTTGGGCCTAGATTTGCCCGGTCGGTTTCATGTGGTTGAGTGACTGTACGCGTGTCCTGAAGATTCTGACACTCCTCCTTCACTCAAGCACACTGTACAAAGTCTTACGGGCTGCCCTGATTGAAAATGTGGGCACCCGTCTGCAAAATGTAGAACTCGTCCTGATGGTGTCATCCGTAACTTGTGCAGCTGTCCTTCGAGCTTTGAGCTGCGCTTTTCTGCAAGCTCTCTTTCTTGAAGGAATTCCGTCAGGCGTCCCTTCATCTTCTCCATCTCCTGCTCGAGTTCTTCTATGTATGTCTCCCTCAAGAAAAGCTCGTTTGCAGCTTGCTCAAGTTCACGCTCAAGTCGAGCATTTGGCACTGACACTTGGGTCTCTTGATCGACCCTCTTCACTTTCACACTCAGGTCAATCCCTTTGACCCACACCATGGCCTTCGTGATCTCCCGGATGAAGGCCTTTGCGCCATCTAGGAACTCATGGACGTAGTTCCAAAGCCACCTGGTCAGGCTCAAGGCCTCAATGCAAGCCAGTGTGCATAGCATCATCCATGCCCAACTTGTCTCCTCAGCTTCCTTCGCTTCTGTTGGGGTGCTTCCAACTTTGTTGATCGTGGCTAGCAGCATCAAAAGCCCGATCCGTAGATTTTTGCTTTTCCCAAATTTCTTCATTCCTTGCTTCATCTTGCGCTGCTCCTCGATCTCCCGGAACTCCTGCTCACCTACTCGGTCACCCACAGCATCCACCATGCGCAGCATGAATTGTAGGCCTCTCAACCTCTTGATGGCAGATTCTTGGTGGGGATGTCGGCGCTGTTAAGGTCTGTGGGGATTGCTGCCTCTGTCAGGACCTTTTCTCGCTCTTTCTGCTGTATCCACAGCATTGAAGCGTCTAGGTGCCTGACTCTGCCGATGCCTTGCCGCTGGGTCATCCCTCTGGCTGCTGAGCTGTCCGACCTTGCCTTCATCTGACATTCTCCTCCTGTGATCATGTTCCACAGGTGCCTCACCAGCATGCCTTCTGAGCATCCTGCAACCAATGCCATGAATTCGCTTTCTCCTGATGAGAGAGCGATGGCTTTTTGGCTTCTGACCTTACTGTCGATGAGGTTGCCGTGGTGACACCTGCTCCAGGATGTCAACCCATGACACCAGGCATTACATTAACTATGTCTGGGCCATCAACAGGTGAGTTGCCAGAGACCCCAACAAAGGCTGGAACGAAGAGGCAAATGTCCGAGGAGGAGAAGAGCGAAGGCGAGAGAGAAGCCAAGAAGCTCGATGCGTCACAGTCTCCAAGGAGACAAGCAGGGAAGAGACAAGTAGAGGCAGCCGAGGAAAATGAGGAGAAGAAGAGCAGGGCTGAAGGTGGACCTCAACAAGAAGGAGACAAGAATGGGGACAGAGCCAGAAGGATCTCCAAGAATGTCACCGACACACAACACAGGGCATCTGTACCCACCACACTATGCAGGAATTGGTGCGATTGGAGTAGAGCCGCACGGAGATGAAGATGTGAGCGTGGAGCTGATGCCAGAAGACGTGATTGAGGAGCAGATGATGGGATATGGCGGAGAAGAAGGAGACGATCCCCGAGAAGTGACTGAAGAAGAATTGGAGATGCTCGATAAGGAGGCTCGAAATACAGAGATCCAGAGAATGCTGGACATGCCTGCAATGGTGGAGGCGCAGAAGACAGAGGTCGATCAGGATGATGGCTACATCATCAGCACAAAGATGGTGATGGGCTGGAAACACCGTCTGGAGAAAGGAGGATGGTTCGCAGGGCAGATTAGTGGCCAGACAGTTCAAGAACAGCATAGATCTGGAGGCCACATTCGCCCCTACATCCATGATGACGCTGCCGAAAATGTTGATACACTATTTGCTGAACGTAAGGAGCGAGTTCGTGGTAGTCACTCTGGACATCAAAGATGCCTTTTTGATGGCAGCGCAACCAGCCACAGAGAAGGCGTACATCCAGATTGAGGAGAACATCCATAAGCTACTCAGGCGCCTTCCAGGCCAGAGGACAGCCGCATCGCAATGGTTTGGCTTGTTTGCATCTGCGTGCAGAGATTTCGGCATGCAACAAGACCTGATGCAGTCCACGCTGATGCTGGTGAAAGACCTCCTATACCTCACCGTCCACGTGGATGATGTTTTCATGGTTGGACGAGAAGACAAAGTGAGGGAACTGATCCAATACTTCAAGGAGGAGAAGAAGTGGAATGTGGAGGAGAAAGGCCCATTCCGACAAGGAGACAAGTTCTTCTACCTGAAGAGGCAGTTCAATTTGGGCATGAGGCACTGTGACATAAGGTGCGACAGGAAGCAGTATGACAGCTTCGAGAAAGAGGTCGACATATACTCCAGATTCTACAGAAAGACCCCTCTGGACGCAAACTTCACGAAGAAGGATGAGATTACGAAGTACAGAAGCATCGTGGGGCGGCTTATGTACATGGCTGGAGAACGACCTGATGCACAGTATGCCATTCAGTGCCTAGCACGCCACATGGCGAAGCCCACAAAGAATGCCCTGAAGAATGCCTGCCCATATGCCCTTCTCAAACACTGCACTGCCCTTGTTCTTGACTGCACGTTTAAACAGCACGCTTTCTCCAAAACAAAGCCAACTTTCCACGGTAGGGATGTCCTGTGGCCAGTTCAAAGCTTGTCCTGTTGCTGCCATCAAGCACTCTGAATCTGTTGATCAAGAAGGATGCGTGCTTGAACGACCATGGATAAATATCGAAGTCTCCTCCGATGTTGATGCGGGCTTTGTCTTCTGCATACCATCGTAGACAGTTTGCCATCTTCCTGACTGTTTGTACTGCCCGCTCAACTTGGCCGTTTGACGCATGCTGTCCAGCTCCTGTGAGTCGAATCTCCGTCTTCATACCGAGCGCATTTCTGACTTGCTGCACGGATCTGAGTATCTGCCTGGTTGCTCTCTCGCTGTCGGCCTGGATGGTGCAGGCGTCGCGGGCAGAATCTTCCAGAGCAAACCTGACGATCTCTTCCGCGATGGTCTTGAGGCTGGCCGTGCCTTTGCTCGGTACTGGGACTGCATGGATGGCTTTTGTTTCAGAGCTGCTCATCACCAGCACCGTTCCGTGCTGGTCTTGCCTCTCCACAACCTTATCTTGCACTGGCCTCTCTGATCGGTCTTCTTCTCCCGTGTATGTGTAGCAGAAGTCAATCTGGATGATGTTCTTTCCGATGTCCTCCTTGGTCTCAGACTTCTCACGCTTGTCCTCTTTTGAGCGACTTGCTACACATGCTTGGCACCAGGCAGCAAATGGCCAATGCGTCACATTGTGTAATTCCTGTTCGGCCAAGCTTGGGAGTTTGGGTTGGCCAAGCGTCACCGGCCTTCTCCTTTGCTCATTGTAGAGCTTGTTTGCCACTGCCAGGTGCATCTGGTTCTCGAGGTTCACCTTAGAAGCCACCGGTCTTTCCAGGAGCTTCTTCTTACTTCCAGTGTGTGCCAGTTGTCGCTCCTTGCACGCCATTTGAAGCTCCTTCACCGACATTTTCTCCGAGAAGGTGATCTCGTCCAATTCTACCTCATGCGGCCGTTCAGCTACCACCATCTTCTCAACATCGTGGAACATCTCCTGAGCTTCCAACTCCTCCAGCTCCTCACCTTCGTCCTCTCACCATTCCAGGTGCCCAAAAGCCCCATCTGTCAGAGGATATGGTGCTGCTACTGGAACTTCACTGCCTGGCTCCCAGTAGTCCTTTGAAATGCTCACACGAAAAGAAGCTCAAAGTCCGCTGAGGTTCCGTTGCCAGACTGATCCTTCGAAATGCCTTCGGCCCCAGCTGGTTGTAATCTTCTGTCTTCTCAAGCTGCTCCCATAGACCATCCTTTCCTTTGACCAGTGTCATTCTGGCTTTGTAGATCTTCTCGATGCTCCCTGCGGGGTCCACCAATTGGGTCGCCACAGGGTCACTGTAGACTGCCACCCCGTTCGGCAACCGGTGCCATCCTGGAGTCATCTCGAGCTCCTGGACGTACTTGCTCAAATAGCCTTGCAGCACTTGGACTCTTGCAGTATCTTCTTCTTCGTTTGACTTCTTTGAATATTGACCTTCATCATTTTGTACTGCAAAGATCCTAGCTTCGCACTGCAGTGAGTTTCTCTCAGTGTTGACCTTCGTGCCGAAGATGTAGGCTTCCTTGAACTTCACCCAATGACCATCCTCTCTTCAGCAGCTTTCCTGCGCATAGGATGGGATGTTGTACACTGCCAAGGGCGAAGTCCTCATAGATCTCAACAACTTTTTCTGTCCGAACCATCATCCTGACTTTTGCTCGCGTCATTCCGGTGTGTGGGATTTTCTTTCCCTGAGCATCCACCATCCCCAAGCTTCCATCTCCTTCTTGTCGTTCACCAACTCCGGCATAATCCTTTGGCGGGACTGAGATGTCTGCCCCGCTGTCCACTGTGATCAGACAGCTTCCAACATCTTCATGATCTTGCCTTCTCACCATGTTCACATTCATCTCCTTCTCCTCAATGTCCTGCAGATCCATGGCCACTATAATCACGTCCTTTGGCACTTCCACTGCAGGTTCATAACATTCATGGTACTCGGACTCTTCAGCCTCGTAGAACTCCTCCACCTCGTAGAGCTCAATTTTCACCATTCCCACTCGCCATGGGAAGTTGTCAGTTGTCACCCTGCTCACCCCTGGGCGTGGTTTCAAACGACGAAGCATCAGGTGGTGTCTGCAATCTCACCATCTTGACTGAGGCTGTGGCCGTAGTGCTTCCAGCATTTCCTGTAGATGATGAGCTCGCTCCTCCTGGGTTCTGTTGCTCCTCAACGTTTCCAGCGTTCACGAGCGAAATGGCCCGTTTTGCCACAGATGTGACAGGCACCACTCTTTGTCCCTTTTCCTCCTTTCTCTGCTGGTTTTCCTTTCTTCGCCAGGCTCTTTTCCCAGAAGCTCTTTCCTTTCTCTGTACCCTTCCATGCACCCTTGCCATCTTTGCCGCCAAATTTTCCTTTCTCCTTGCCTTTGTCCTTCCCCTTGGCTTCTTTGCCCTTTCCTTTCAGGCCCTTCTTGCCTTTGCCCACCTTCCCGATGTAGTCCACGTCGATTGGGGTCGCCTCATCACCGGTGGTCCTAGTGGGAGGCATCAGGGAGTTCGTCGAATCCCATTTCGTCGTCACCGCCTCAAGCTGGATGATCCTGTCTTTGAGCTGCTCATAGGTGGTTGTATCTGTGAGCCAAAGATGCAGGTGTTGGCGGATCTGCAAAGGGCATGCCAACAGGATGGATGCCACCTTGGCATCATCTGAGTACTTCTGGGTTGAGATGCGCTCATACTCCAAGACCAAAGCCTCGAACTGCGGTAGCTGTTCAGACACTGTCTTGCCCTCCGCAAACTGAATGCGGGACAGCTGGCTCAAGAGGGCTAGTGCCCTGGCCCTCGTAGCCGGCTGCATCTCTTTCAGCAAGCTTTAATTTGCCACGCTTCAAACCCATTTTCACTTTTGACGTGGCGGATCAACTTCAATGGCCTGTGCCTCACATACATACGAAGTCAACAGGCTGTATAGCCTCACGGCCTTTGCCTTCGTCTCATCTGTCATATCCTCGAAGTTGTAGTTGGCGTCCACATTGTTCTCAACCATGTCCATGCTGGCTGCCATCGAGGGATCAAGCCCCTTCACGTAGTTGAGGAAACCAAACTTCCAGTCTCCCCACAACTTCAGCTCTGCATCTCTTCCTTCGGGCTTGAAGACATCCGGCGGTTTCAGATGCCTTGCCCAGCCTTGTGCAGTCTGATTCAGTGCCAACCTCTCCAAGGCTGTTGCCACCTGCCTCAAACTCTCTTCAGCCATTGATTTCCACCCGTAGACCTTGGGGATGAATGTCTTCGTCTCCAATGGTGCAAGGGGTGTAGGTGTCCCAAATGCCAATCCCGCGTAGACAGGCATGTCCCAGAAGCGCCAGTTGTACACTAGCTCGCTCAATTCGTACACTAGCTCGCTCAATTCGTTCTCACCTGCGTCGTCCCGCAAAGCCTCTATGCGCTCCACGAACTTCCACTTTGCTGGTACTACGATGACCACTTCCTTCAACTCTGACTGATCCTCCTTCCGTGCCACCACTATGGAGGCTCTCACAATCTTCTCGCTCTTTATCCACTTGATCTTGCTCAGGTGCTCCTCAGTCTCTACCACTAAGGTGTGGATCCTCCGCACGCGAGCCTTGCAGGTCAAAGGCAGGACCGAGCTGGCCTGGTAGTATTGAACTTCCTGTGCAGTCGAGGTCCCGACTCCACCAGCTAGACCTGCCAATAGCAAAAGCTCGAGGATCCAGATTGCAGCGAAGGATGGGCCTTCCCTGGATCGAATTGTCCTCTTCCTCCTCGTAGAGGTTGTCGTGGAGCTAAAGCTCTTCGTGGTGCTCGTAGTGACCGTAGGTGGCGGAGCCCCGGCTCTTTACGGCCAGGGCTCCGCTACCATGCAAGCGCGGGCGCAGGCTTTTGCAAACACGGCTTGGGCCTAGATTTGCCCGGTCGGTTTCATGTGGTTGAGTGACTGTACGCGTGTCCTGAAGATTCTGACATATATAAATATTCTTCGCCCGGCTCCTGCACATATTATGCTCATGAAAAATAACAGCAACGCTGTGGCTAAGAAGTTTACCGTAGCGAGTTTTATGAGATCCATGGAGATTATCAACAGTTGCTCTCTACTGACTCTACTGTCACAGTATGTGCATAGATCTGGACTGGTCTCTTTCTATGTGCACCAAGAAAAAAACATTGCCTTTGAAGCAAGCTGCTGCACTCGGATGAGCCACGTTATTGCGTGTGAATTTGGTGTCATAAGTCCTGATACCCTCACTGGTAAAGGGAGTTTGGGAAGGGCTGAAAGGAGACACACATGCATCTTCCAGCGGCCATGTCCACACAGGCGTCAGTCCTTGACACAGTGAAAGGTTGGGGAGCTCTTTGGTGCAAAATACCCAGCAAAGCATGTTCAATACCCACTGGCAGATTAAACATGTTCCAATATTCTAATGATGCCGTGTTTCTCGTTGTCGCGTTTGCCATGCCTGTGGTGGCGGCCGACTCTTCAAAAGATAAGCTGATGTAAGTTGCCATTTGTCTCAGGAAGTCCTCCATGTCCTTGCAAATTGAATCCATTAAAACCACAAGCCTATTAGGTGGAGACCATCGCAAGTAGGTTGGAGGCCAGCGCTACTAGTAACAAAAGCTATTAGGTGGAGGCCTAGGTGGCACATGATCATCCCAGTTCCGAAGCTTTAAAGATGGGATCAAGTAGACGAAGGTAGCAGAGCCAGGCTGACCAGGACTGTCAAAGTTGCTTGAAGTTACTTGCACTTGTTTGCTTGTATGTACGTGTAAAGTAGCCTTTGGAGTCGCCTACCTGGCTTGACACCTACCTCCTAACTACCTCTTGCAGCAACCGGACAAAAAATAGAGTACGTCAGAGGATACGTTGCCTTGCCTATTGGGCCTATTGGCTGTGACAGTTAGCATGACCTAAAGCACCAAAAGTGCACGGTGGAAAGTGCAAAAAAAAAACACCCACACCCAACCCACTGATGCGAAACTGCTTATCTCTTTGTGGTCAAAATCATCTCACTGGCCGCAGCCTACCATCGTGAAACTAACCTTCTCAGCTCACAGCACGTAGCAGCAGAAACGTGTTATCAAAGGTCTGTTGTTGTTGGTGGTGGTTGTTGCATTAGAGGGCATTTCACTGGTGTTTGGACAAGGTCCCTTTCATTCTCCCAAACTCTGCCAACAAATCTACCCAAGCAAAGTTGGAGAGCCGACGGAGTATAAAGCAGCAAAAGGTCTCCCGTTGCCTTTGAACGAAAGGCTGCCACCATGAGCCTGAAGCAGCAAAGAGCTGCTGCGTGGCTTCTGGTGGCCAACCTGTGGCCTTGTGAAATACAGAAGTTTCTGAGAGTCAACCTGTGGCCTTTGAGAGAAATTTGGCGCCAGACATAAAGGAGCAAAGGATTGCACTGAGGAAGTCTACCTTTTCTAGCGGCTCTTTGCTGAGGCTGCAAAAGCTTGCAAAAAGAAAAAAGAAACAGTGTCTTTTTGGACGACGGTTTGTTTACTGCTGCACTAACGCAAGATGACACGTGGATCATGATCTGGAATCTGGAACGCCGCGCAGAAAGCACGAACTGAGGCACTGCGCGATCTGAAGCGCCAAAAATGCACAAAGGCCGTGGTCAGCTTTTGCGGCGTGCTCAGAAAGGTGGTGCTGGAGTGGGCCAGCCTATGAGAATCCACCAGAGTGGCCAAGATCGTCAGCAAAGGTGCACGAAGGGGGCGCGCAAAAAGCACGATCGAGCGCACAAAGAAATGCATGCAGACAGCAAAGTTGTCAAGATACAGTCTCAATGTGCTCGAAAAACGATCTGTAACGAAGTCAGCAAGATTCAGCCTCTACTGTGGAGCAGCAAAGTTTGCAACTTTCGGCCTACTGTGCTGATTCTGTATTTGCTGTGCCTAAAGAAATTCGGGGAGCAGCAAATTTGGCTCGATTCTACATAATACTCTGCTTGGGAATATTTATGGGAACAGCAAAGTTGGCAAGATTCAGCCTTTACTGGCCTAAAACTAAGAGTTCCGGCAGCAGCAAAGTTGACAAGATCCAGCCATGTGCCAAGAAACTGGGAACATTAAAACTGGCAAAGTTCAGCCCTTACGAACTGTGTTTGATAAAATCGTGAAAAGAGCAAACCCTAAAACATACGGTCCATGGTCAACAACAAGAAACATTCGGAGCAGAGTGCTTGAAAGCTACGGCAACATGTCCGTATCAACACAACCTGACCCACCCTGAGTTCCAAACCTTGAAGCCTCCCATGGTCCGTGACCCAAAACTAAACCCCTAAAGCAAATTTTGCCAGTTGACCAAACAATATGTCCAGCTGAAAATTGAATATTGCCCGTTGACAATTGAAAAAACAAAAAAACAGCAGCAGTGAGCAAGAACGCAGGGCTATAGTACCAACCACAAGGTGAACATTTGGTCCAACTTTTGGGAGGGCCCCACATCTAAATTCTGTTTACTGACTGTCACAGCTATGTTGGCATGACTCAAGTTATAAGTCTAAATCTACTTTTAAACAAAAAAAACACACACATGCCGCCATTGCACAGCGTTTGGACATGTAGAATCGTCACAAACATAGGTTCTCGTGAGTCCCCTGTGTTTTGACGGCAAACCCGGTGGTTCCAAGAATTGAGATACCTGGACACGAAGCGAACAAAATGTGTCCCCACATCTTCGCACGCAAGTGATTTCACTGTGGATCAGTGGCAAAGTGAGCAAATGTGGCCTCCAACCTAATAGCGAGTTGGTATCTGTGTGCTGCTTGGACCGTGAAGCGTGAAGTTGAAACCATCTGAACCCTGACCGCATGTAGCTTCATGCTCCTAGCAGCGACGCCCTTTGTTACTAGTAGCATCCTTGCTACGTTCGTAGCTTCTTGGAGGCACTTGTTACTAGAAGCGATACACTTGTTCCTAGTAGCTTATTGTTCCTAATAGCTTCTTGTTACTACTAGTAAGGCACTTGTTACTAGAAGCGATGCACTTGTTCCTAGTAGCTTCTTGTTCCTAATAGCTTCTTGTTACTACTAGTAAGGCACTTGTTACTAGAAGCGATGCACTTGTTCCTAGTAGCTTCTTGTTCCTAGTAATGCAAGGAGCGCCCCGTTCGTAGCGTCGCTCCAGACCCCTGCGCCCCCTGCACTATCAACTCCGCGCTTTTGCAAACGGCCACGGCCGCCCGCAGCCTGAACGCTGTAGCGAGTCAAGCCCAAAGCTTCCACCGCATCATGCAGCTGGCTGGCAGTGATGGTGTCTGCCTTTTTCACTTGGAAAGCACCTGAAAAAGCACTGTTTAATTGTCCGGCTTAAAGCATTGCGAAAAACATCCACAAAGAAGAATCTTATTCTCCAAGCACTTGAAGACAAGACTCCCAAACGCAGTTGAAGCCGATGACCGGCTGCTGGTTCCTGGAGTGTTCCAGAACAATCGAAGTTCTTACAAAATCTGCTCCGAAAGCAAAACTAGACAAGGCAGCCAAGGCGACCTTCTGGACAGTCGAGTCAAAGCTTCCCTCAGTTCTTGGGATTGAGCACATGACAGGAAAAACGAAATGGACAAACTCATTATATTATACTTACTGTCAATTAAAGGTTTGATCCCTTTTGAATCAAGGTGATCAGTGAAAAGCTTGAATGAAGTGGCACGAGCACAACCTTCTGAGCTCCGAGCTGTTCGTCGAGACTTGGAGCTCTTAAGACTCTTAAGTGCTTGAACGCTCGCAGAGTTCGTGCTGGAGGCGTCCTCTGACTCGAAAGGAAGAGCGAAGAGCTCCTCATGGATCCTGCCAATCAAGTCGTTGAATTCCATTAACCCAGCTTTGTGTGGGGCATGGCAAGAGAAGCCAGAAAAAGATAGAAAAAAAAACGCCATAATAACCGATTCAATTTAATATATAACCTAAATGAAAGAACCAATCAATTTTGCACCAAATGAACAATATGCACAGAAAGTCGGAGCCTCGGGAGCGAGGGTGTATGATCGGCATGATCATCGGTCGAAGTAGTCAGAGCATTGCTGCTGGGCCTGGGCCAAAGCATCTCGTGAGTTGAGTGAGAGCTTGCTTGCTAACTCCAACCTAAGAGTGATGGCCTCCAAGCTACAGTAATAGCGATGGCCTCCAACCTAGTAGCGATGTTGCCAACAGAATCTGACTAGCTCAATTCCGGCACTGTGAGTCCAGCTGCCTGTCAAGCCGGTCCAGTCGGCCATCAAAGGCTGCGAGTAGATCAGTGCGGAAGCGCTGGACGGAGGCATCCAAGTAAATCTCGAACGCGGATTTCTCCATGGAAGCGACTCTCGCTGATCAGATCAGGTCAGCGCCGGAAACAACACGTGAGCCGTCATGGGCTGCATGTGTATAGACACAAAATGAGCAACTGGAGTTGGCAAAGAGGGCTTAGCTATTGAAGTTCTGAGAAGAAAGGACCTTACAATGCGGTTCGCCTTGAATTGGATGATATTGGACATTTCTGGATTCCAAACAACCAGATTCCCTCACGTGAAAAACAATGGGTACAAGTAGTCCCACTCATGTGCCAGCATGCTGATCCTCCAAAGTCTGGGAATTTCTGCTCGCCACAACCATTTTCGACTGGTATTGAGAACTGCACGGGAAGGAGAAGTTTGCCAAATAGCCTTGGTCTGTTCAGCTTCACCCAAGAAGACCAAGAACATGCTCAGGCGCCACGAAGATCACCAACCGAGTATCCAATTTGTGCTCAAAAACTTGAGACATCTTGAGACACTGAGACACCAACCAAGAGTCTCCAGCATTGGATGAGAGGTGCCAGAGATTGCCTCGACACTTGCAGGGAAGCGTTGGCGCTTTCTGCTTTCGCCACGGAAGCAGGTTGTCAGGGGGGCCCCAGCCCTTCTGTGGAATCGACTGCAGAGCCATGGTTTCAAAAGAAAAAGCTGCTGCGAGAAACGGCTCCTTTCTTTGATTGTGAATGGGTAGAAACACCGGAATGAGACTTCGTGAAAGCCAAGATGTTGTGCCCAGTTGGCAAGCTGAATCAGGGTCCCAACCTCTGTCACCACCGAGCTGTGATGGTGCACATGCGAGGCCTGCTATGCAAATCTAAACTCAACTGAAACTGAACTGAGGGGAGTTTGGGGGGGGCAAAGCACTTCGCAGCTTAACTTGATCAGAGCAATGGGTTGTCGGATGCACAAACATTTTCCCCTATCTTTTTGAGCTGTACGTGTGGACTATAAAGTCCTAGAGTCCAAGAGCAGTTTCTCAACCGGAGAAACATTACAGGCACGAATGATCAAGGTCAAGAAACGTACCTTGTACACTGCGGGCTTGTGAAGCCATAGGTGGAAGGCATAGTACAGAGGCTCCTTGCACAACAATCAATGAGGTTGTTGTAGCATCTGTTGATACGCAGGCCATTGGGCAGGTGAATGAAGCTAAGGCCGCAGCTACCACCAAGTAATGAGATAAGAAGCAAACCTGTTGGTGCAAGGTTGCACCCAAAGCTAAGGCAGCCGAGGCCAAGCAAACAAGTCTGGCCAAAACCCTAGACTTACTCCAAAACGACTTGTTCAATTCAAAGCTTTAAACTGTTGTATAAGTTTGTATCTTTCTGGCCTTCATGCGTTTCAGACGCAACTTTACTTTGCAGGCACAAAGCTCAAAGCTCTACCTCATGCTGCTAGCCGGGGCACGGCCAGGCTGGTCCAGGTCAACGATACAGTCTGAGCAAACAAAATAGGAAGGTTGGTGCGATGAGAGCTGTGCTACAATTGGTGTCTAACCTTCAGTCTCAATACTGAACTCAGGCTGAGGAAAGAGACTGATCGCAACCAACCTGTTACAGCATCAACCTCAGTTGGGCAGAAAGCAATTCAAAATGAATTGCGGTCCAATGGCCGTGGCATGCTACTTCAAGGCCACGAAGCACTCTTAGTGTGGCACCAGAATGAATGCAGTGGGTGAGAGGATCACTGGCCCATCCCAGTCCTGAAAAGGACGTATCTGTTGAGTCTAGAATTGGCTATCTCAAGAATCTCTCACCCTTCACCTTCTTAATTATCTTCCCTCGCTTCACTCTTCACCACTAACCCTTTGTTGCCCGTGTTGGTAGTTTAAGCCTTGAACGAGTACAGCAGCAAGGGTAGAGGACTTGTGCCCATCTCACTTCGCATCTGCTGGATTCGAAGGTAGGGCATGGTTTTTTTCCGCCCTGTTTCGGTTCTATTTCCACCTTGTCACGCATGGGCTTTTTTTGAACCCTGTGCAGGGTTCTTTTCTCACCCTGTACAGGGTTCCTTTTCCACCCTGTGCAGGGTTCCTTTTCCACCCTGTGCATGGGTTCCTTTTCCACCCTGTGCAGGGTTCCTTTTCCACACTGCGCAGGCACCCTGTGCAGGGTTCTCCCTGTGCAGGGTTCCTTTTCCACCCTGTGCAGGATTCCTTTTCAGGGTTCCTTTTCCACTCTGTGCAGGGATCCTTTTCCACCCTGTGCAGGGTTCTTTTTCCACCCTGTGCAGGGTTCTTTTTCCACCCTGTGCAGGGTTCTTTTTCCACCCTGTGCAGGGTTCCTTTTCCACCCTGTGCAGGGTTCCTTTTCCACCATGTGCAGGGTTCCTTTTCCACAGTGCGCAGGCACCCTGTGCAGGGTTCTCCCTGTGCAGGGTTCCTTTTCCACCCTGTGCAGGA